CAGCACTGGCAAATGTGAAAAATCTTGGGATATTTTAATTAGACTCAACTAAATATGCACATAGCACAAAGCAACTGTAAGATGCTATTGAATTACAGGTCAGGAGTTACGGGCATGGACTATGGCAGTATGAACGGCTCCACCAAAACTGATCGGCTACTCTAATGCATATCCCTGGTGCCATGTTGTTGAAAGCAAGCCCCTGGGTCAACACCTCTCTTGAAATGATATGCAGTTGAGCGTGTGACCTCTGGGACTTACACAGGTTTGACTCCTTGCTCCTCTGCAAATTAGCTGTGTTAACATAGATAATTTAATTAATCTGTTTGCTATCCACAGAGCTGTGAAGAAAATCCTTGCTTGTCCTTCCTCTTTTAAGAAATTTATAACCAGAACATTTACTCATTTTTAATTGTTATACGGGTTTAAGTTGGGGGTTTCTCGTGCATTCTGGATGAACACTAATGTGGACTATAGTACAACCATTATAGAGAACACTATGGAAGATCCTTAAAAGGCCGACTCAAAATAGACCTGTATGATTCAGCTCTCCTGTTTTGGAGCATGTCTCCAAAGAAAATGAAGCCAGCCTATGAAGAGAGGCCTTCATGTATGTTCACTGTGCACCACCAGTCACAACCCCGAAGATGCAGAACCAACCAGATGGATGGATAAAGGATGTATTAGAGATACACCATGGGATAGTATGTATCTGTATTCCATTGTCTGCATCCTCCCAGGGAACCAGAGTACATTATGTCAAGTGGAATACTACATATAGAAAAAGACAAATACCTCTTGTTTTACTCATGGAAATAATAACAGAAATAACGGTGATAAAATTAATATCTCGCTAGTAGTCCCTCAAATAAATTTAAACGTTACTCCTCAATTTTTGCTGTGTTGATTTATTAGAGAGCTCTAACATAGTAAAAAAAAAATCCTCTGTTTTTGTTTTATGTTTTGTTTTTGTCTTTTGAGATAAGGGCTCACTGTGTAGCCCTGGCTGTACTGGAACTTACTATGTACGCCAGGCTGGTCTTGAACTCATAGACATCTGTCTGTTTTGCCTCCCGGACGAAAGGTTGGCCACCGTACTCAGGCAGTTGTGTGAAGAAAGCAAGAAGACTGATGGATCTCATTGGCTCAGCCTTGGTTCTACAGGAACAGTAGTGAACACTTGGCATTTTAATCTAGCCACAGGATACACAAGTCATGTGACAGAATCTTAAATTCACACAATTTTAGGTTCACTTTTTTAAAAGGTTGTCATTTACAAATTACTCACCCTGTGTGTTTAAGTTAATTTTACCTGAGTATAAAGGTGATAAGAAATACATTTCCCATTTTTCATTTTTTTTTCATATCCAGTGTAAGCATATCTTAAATTCTTTTGGAAGAAAAACCTCTAGAATAACTATGTATCAGACACTTGGGTTCAGACACTGGTATTTTACCCAATAGCTTTGGAATTCTACCTGTCTTTTTTCAGGAAACAGTTTTATATATATATGTAATACATATGTATTATGTAATGTTATACATATGTATGTATATATACAAATTTAAAACAAGCACAATAACCTTGAAGAGGATTCTTCCCCATCCCTGAGTCTCCTGGCTGTTATGTCTACAGGCTTCTGTGCTAACGAGGGGAAGAACGCCGAAGAGCTAGCTGGCCACGACAGACCAGATAACCCAGAAACTGTTTTTCTCCCAAATATTTCTTCTGCTAAATAAAAGACAGTTGCCATGTAGCCACGAAGACTGTAAGTGAGGTCTGGGAACGGCAGCTTAGGTGGCTCTAAATGTGACCTGAGAGTGGTCGTGTGTTATGATAATCTACCTAAGTCCTGTGTTTACATACAGCGGTGCCTTAGCTTTGTCCAGTGAACGAATCCCTGACCGAATGAAATGCAGGGAGCCGGAGAATCTGTAGACCACTGAAACCGAGTCCTGCGTCTTACAAAGGGATAAAACGGCTTATCCTTTCATCTCGCCAAATGATTCTTTATTCTGAAAGCAGTTGTCTGGGCTTCTTTTATTAAAGAGTAACCGCTGGGCTTTTGGGAGAGTTTTCGGATTGTTTACTTGCAAGGAAGAAAAACCTCAAAGCTAAGTGCTGGACATCGCTGGAAAATGGTAAAGAGAAAACATTTCTCAAATTTTCATGAGTCAATAAAAATAATGCTTCCATTTAGAAAAGAAATCAATTGACAGATAAGTTTTGCCGGATGCAGCTAATACTTAAAGCAGAAACACCTATAGTGGAATTCTTTCTGTTGGTATGGAACATTCCCCACAAACCAACCCACAGATTTTATCACAGGTACCCAGCAGTTGGCTTAATTTTTCAGTAATGTGATCGACTAAAACACAGTACAGATTTTAGAGATTAGAGAGAGGAGCTGCTACTTCTCCTGAGCAGCGCGAGCCTTCCCAGCACATCCCTTTTGAAGCCCCAACAAGATGCCATCTTTATAATCTGCTCTAACATATGTTGCACTAAATACCACATGTCTTGATTCTAAATCTAAATTGGGAAGCATAAATTTCTGAACGTTAAGGTGCCATGGCGTGTATATCAAAGCAGTCATTAAAGCAGGTCATATCCTAAAACGGGGAGGGGGAGGTTTTCGTTGTGACGTACTTCATCCTGCTTTATGGGGATTTAAATGAAATCGCTTCAAACAACAATTAGTTGATATTGTCGACCTGCTCTATGCAAAGGAAAATACTAGGTTTTTGAATTGTTTGTCTGGGAGGGGGTGGAGGGAGATAAAAAGAAAAGACATTGTCTAGGCTCTCTGAGCTCGGACTTAGAAAAAAATAATCCTCTGTAAAATCGAGATGCAGAGAAATCAGCTGAACAGATCACAGCCTCGGGGTCTCACACCTTACTCGCAACCTGTCGTCTATACTTTCCAGACAGTTCTTGGAGAACTCTATTGTCAAGGTTGAGCATTTCTGGGGAGCAGAGGGGAAAACGCTTAGGTGGTCGACAAATGATATTTTTTTTTCCAATCTTTGCCATTCACCGGTACAGCGGAGAACTTCCATATAAGTCTTGTCAAGGTACATGGAAATCATCCTTCCTCTCTTCCCCTTGCTTGCGTCTGCAATGAAACATGTCTGGCATCCTACTGCACTCCCTTCAATACTAGTTTTCCCATCCCTTTCTCTTTTGCAGCCTGTGGTTTCTTTTCAGGGAGAATGGAGACTGTTGGTTGCTAAAGATGGCGTTTCTACCCGGTGCTGCACTGCCCTCTAGTGGTGGAGGGCCACAGTATGCGCCCTTTTTTCCTTCTCAATAATTCCCTGTCATCCAGCCTTCCAGCCTTCTTTCCTTCCTTCTTGTCGGCCTTCCTCTTCTCTCTCACACTTCCTTCCTCCATCCCCCCCACACACATGCCTCTCTCTCTTTTTCTCTCCTTTCTGTTTCTGTTATCCTTTCCTTCCTTCAACAGTCAGCCTAAAGCTGTATGTGAAAAAAGGATTTGTGGAACGTATGGACTTAAAATTCAAAATGACTTACAGAAGGGCAAACTGTGTAATCAAACTCTGTCCTCCCCCAGATTTAATTGTCTCATTCAGTCCACTGGCTAAATTGGACCAATTCTAAAACCCTGATATCCTGTATAATCTTTAGAGAATATCTGTCTCTCTCTAAGAAACTCATATGCAATTTGATTATTTCCTTAAAATAGGAAGAAAAAGAATAAACCAATACCTCATATCACCAGAAGAGGGAGCCACTTTGACTTGTCACCTAAGTGGTGGACTGAAATGTTACTTATTCGGGAGGCTGAGGCAAGAGGCTCAAAAGCACAAATCCAGCTATGTCATTTAGTGAGACTGGGGAGGACCACAGACCTGGCACTCATTGGCAGACTGCATGCCTAGCATGTGTGAGGCCCTGAGCTTCTCCCCAGCACTGAAAAGGCAATAACACAGTTTTGATGTGATATTTAGCAACACCCAATCTGATTAGTAGCTGTCAAATTTTACTACTAAATCCCCTTTTAGCAACCCTGTCTGATGTGGGATTTCCCTCTGTATGTGATGAATGTGATTTTTTTTACCATTGGCTATTAAAGAAGTTGTTTCGGTGATGACAGAAGTTAGAAAATCATCCCTTGCTAGTTCAGAATTACATATAATAAAAGGTTGTTTATTTAGGGGTAGATTCACAGGTCACAGACCTAGATCACATGTTGCATGAACAGGCAACAGGAACTGAATCTAGCAGCCAGAATCAAGAGCCAGAAGTGAGAGAGTAAGTAAACACTTTACAGCTGCATTTATAGTGTAAGAGACCATGCCCAAGTGGGCTGATATCTTAAAGGCTATTGGTTGACTGAGCTCCCACAATTCCTCCCCCTTTGCTTAAATAAGAAAATTCCAAACCCAATACAAAACTATGTACACTCGGAACAGGTATCAAGTATAAAGCTAGAATTACAACTAGCATAGACAATATTAAGCAAGGCACATATCCTAATGTTTTAATAAACATTCTATCCTAAGGAATCTAAATCTTGTATTGGAAATGGCTTGGCTAAATCATAAGAGGACAGTACCTATGACTATCTAATCATCAACCCCATTGAAGGCCTTAGAAGGGAGATATTACTTGAGTAGGCAGAAAGTACAATCAAGCAGCTTCCAAAATGTGCAGCAGATGACAGAGATAACTGGCTACCTGGGCAATCACTCAAAGTCTCATTTACAATATTGAAGCAACCAACTTTGGCTAAGGCCTAGAGTAACTAACAGACCATTTTTAGAGGCAAGAAAATTTTTAGATCCGCCTTACCCTGTCTTGGCAAAGTTTGGCAGTCTTTTTTCTTGTATCTTGCTTGTCCAGTCCGGACATCATGCACTTTGTTAGTGGCCAAGGCATAGGCAGTTCCTTGCCCAAAGGCCAGTTGTGCCAAAAAGAAAGCAAACTCCAAGTGAAGTGTCTTTGGTGCTCAACACTCTCTCAGGAATAGATCAGTGCTGCCAGGAGCAATCGTGTCTCACGTCAACAGAATCCTAAATTATTTAAATGGCATGTTTTACTAATCTTTGCAGTGGTTGAAGGTTACTTATTTATACAGAATATAATCTCTATGTATCTTAAGAACCTAATTAGTATGACTAAAAATATAACAAACATTAAATGACTATTGACCTATAATACTTAATAACTGTATAACTTAAATATTAAGACTTCATATCAGAATACTAAACAATCTTTAAACAACTGTGCAGTAAAGAAGAACAATGACCTCAAAATGTAAACAATGCATAAATATCTTGATCAAAGGTAGAAATATATAATGCAATATGATAAATATATCCTAAAATTGTATCAATATACAAAATGTCATAAGCAGGTAGAAACATGCATGCAAACAATCTGACAAAATAACTTTGCATAGGTGCACAAATATTGCAAACAGAAATAGGAGCACATTCAATATAACAAATATAATTTGAACTTGTGTCAATATACAAAAATCTATACACAATGTAAATTGTTCGTAAATGATAGCTCACAAGTATTCACTCTATCACTCACTATTATTATTATTATTATTATTATTATTATTATTATTATTATTGTAAGTTCACACTAATCTACCTATTATCCCATTCAGTTTTCCCTATTTTTTGAGATCTCTGGGCCTACATACTTTCTACCCAAACCTCCAACCCTATGCAAGTAACATTCAACCCCAAAATGGTGTCCTTAACTGTGAAGCACGTATACTGCGTATGGTAGTACATATCATTAATCCCAACACTCTGGAAACAAAGACAGGCAGATCTCTATGAGTTCAAGGTCAGCCTGGTCTACATAGCAAGTTCCAGGCTAACCAGAGATACATAGCAAAACCCTGTCTCAAATTAAAACTAAGCAAACACAAAGAGAATATTGATATACACATATAAAAACACAACTGTTCCTGCTTATAGAGAAGAAAATGTTGCAAATTTACCAAACTTTTACTCACAGACTTTTGCTAGTCTGCAGATGGAGCAATGATACTTAAAGTCAATGAAAAAGAAAAAAATACAAGTCAGAAGCCTGCATACTGTAATTTTATCCAGTTCACAATATTGTTATACAGAATAAGCAATCCCTTAGACAGCAAAGGTCTTTCCATATGAGTTGAGAGTCTTGTGGCAGCACATCAATCCCTCCTCACCAACCAGACATGATATACGAATGAAGATGCAAAACACAGAATGTGCTCTTACAAAATCAAATCTGCCCACGGTTCATTACTGCAGATAGACAAATATGAACTATGACAGATGGAAAGCTGAGTAGGATAAAATTGAGTCAGTGCAGGAGGGAGCTCTTCATAAACCCAGTAAATAACTAATGGGAAGGACGGCAAGCATGCTGACATTGAGTATGTGTCAGGAGAGATCCTTTTTCCTAACAAAAGAAGTATAAATTGGTTCAAGACGTCTCTCAAGTTCTTCTTCCTAAGTTGTGTCAGTTTGTCGTTAGGACAAAGTGTTCTCAGACCAATTATGCTCTTTGTTGCAGAAAGGAACTCTGAAGACAAATTTTCTGCGGGATTGAAAAATCAAGACCTGAAGACTAAATGTGAATGGCTAAGTTATAAATGAGAATGCTCACAGAATTATATTACAGGAAGGCATTTGTACGCAAGCAGCTATCTAGCGGTACTTCTATTGAGTTTACTAAAGCCCACTTCCCTTTAAACCTTTAACCATCATCACCCTCATCATCATTTATGCCCCGGCAATGCTAAGCATGCAGCATGGGCAGCCCATTTATGGCGGTTCTGCAGTTGTTCCTATCCTGGACAGTCCTAGATGTCTGTGTTATTGCCATACCCAAGGTTCCACAGTCTTCCTCGATGCTATCTATCCAGTGTTTTTTGGGCCTTCCTCTTCACCTTATCCAGTGCATTCCTTCAAGCCCTGCTATCTTCGGGTATCTGCCATCGTTCATTCTCATAATATGATCAAAGAATCTCAAGCGCCATTGCTGTCTCCTTGCCTGGACCCCTTGCCTGCCGGATTAAACAACTTGTTTTTCTATGCTTGCAGCTGCTCTGAGCATGAGACCCTCATGCTCACTCCCCGGATGGCAGGGGAGTGGTTTTTGCTGGGCTTGCAGCTGAAAAATCCCGAGGGCTGGAGCAAGGCCATTGGTCAGGGAGAGCACTAGATAAGCTGCCCTGGAACACAATAAAATTGGCATTCTTGTTTCAAGAGTGATCAATGTCCCTGTGTGTCTTTTAATCCCCAGACCCTTGCCCAGTGAGTTAGTGTGGGTGCCACAGCTTCCTTCTGTAATTGGAGATGTTGCTTAATGTCATCATTGTATAGCCTTATCTCTTCATGTGATGCCTAGAATCCTCTTGCGACACGCCATCTCAAACACATTCTGCCGCTGTTCTGAGGAACATTTTTTTTTTTATTTTATTAGATTTTTTTGAAAAGTACAGAGTTCTACATTAATTATAAACGGGTTGGCCTATTAGCTCAAGCTTCTTATTAACTCTTATATCTTACATATTAACCCATAATTCTTGTCTGTGTTAGCCATGTGGCTTGGTACCTTTTATCAGTGAGGCATTATCATCTTGTTTCTTCTGTGTTTGGGTTACAACTGCAGACTGAGCCTTTCCTCTTCCCAGAATTCTCCTGTTCTCATTGCCCCACCTATACTTCCTGCCTGGTCACCCTGTCTATACTTCCTGCTTGGTTACTGACCAACCAGCGTTTTAATAAAATACAAGTGACAAATCTTTCCAAAGTACAAGATCATTGTCCCACAGCAGGGTAGCTCCTATAGCATGGATACACTGGGAAAGCATATTCTTTATACCTTGAGAATGAAAGCATTAGATTTCACCACCCTACCCAAACATCATGTAACTTAAAAGGTAAAACCGTCTATTTTTGGAATTTTCTAATTAATATTTTTGAGACTGAGACTTACTATAGGTAACTAAAGGAACACAAAGTAAAACTACATAAGAAAGAACCTTTGCTTCCAGCAAATTTTCTATTACCAAGTAAGCAAAATATTTAAAGAACCCATACACATATACATATATATGTATATACATGCACATACATATATATACATATATGCACACATCTGCATATATACACACATATACACATATGCATATATACAGACATATATATGCATACATGCACACCCACATGCACACACACACATATATGCAATACACACAAATATATATACACAAAAAAAACAGAACAAACAATTCAGAAACAATCATCAACACTATGCCAGAGATCTAAGTGGGTTAGGCCACAGCCTATGACCTGGTTTTCAACAGTCCCTCTGAGAAGAGAGCATTTATGTTGGAAACTGAGTGACAGAGGATCTGTGCAGAAATCAGAAGGAAGCATGATCCAGACCTGAGAAACTGTCCCAAAATCTCAGGGGTAGACACAGTCCTGGCAAGACCCAAGGGCAAATGTCAGTCAGTGTGGCTGATCACAGAACATGAGCAAGCAAGACCAAGGAAAGGATTGTACTGCAAATTCAACAGGAAACGGGCATGAATGCGAGTCTAAAACTAAGAGGGAAAATGTTATGCGGATCGGGTCCCTCCACTCAGGGAAGCGGGAGCAGGAGAACAGTTGTAAGTTTGATGGCCACCTTGTCTGCGTAGTATATTCCAGGCCATACAGAGGTACCGAGTGAGACCTTGTCTCAAAATATATGGTAAACGTATATATTATACATAAAAAGAGAACAGCATGGTTTGTTGGTAACATAATAAATATTTCATAAAATAACAGGAATTCAACCAATAGCTATCCTAATTTGCATTTTCAAAAATATCACATTGCTAAATGGAAAAGAATCAGATGTGTGTGGGAGGAGAGACGGAAGTACTTGGCTGTGCTTGGAATGTAATTTCTGTCCCTGGGGTCTTTGTACTGAAGTGCCACCCTGAGGTATTCGCAGACGGAAAACACAATTCAGCTGTGACATTCAAAGAGACGTTCCGGAAGTTACCAGGGTTAGATAGGGTCCTTTGGGTGGAAACTATAAATAAATTCTTGTGACTTCAAAAAAAAAAAAAAAAGGCAGAAGAGATACCAGGCAAATATACATGCATCCATACTCCATATGGTATTTTGTTCCACCCCTAGAGTCTTTCAGTGAGGCCACCTCCAGGGAGACTCCTTGACCTTGCCCCTCCGGAACTGTAAAGCAGCCTGTCTCTGGCTTTTCATTACAGTACTGAGAGCAATCAGTGTAGTACAAGGGCTGTTACAAGGCTATGAATGAGAAATTACCATGACCTAAAACAGTGGTAGCGGTGAAGAGGAAGAGAATTTATTTAAGCTTGCCTGGACTTCACATTGATGGAGTGGCTACATGGATGGGAAAAAAAAATAACAAAGACTCAGTTCAGGAGCTTAGATTCCGAAGACGGTGGGAAGGGGGTGCCTTGGGATGGGCAGGATGACGAATGAGGCCAGTCTGCAGGAGAAAGAGAAGGGGAGCACTCACCTTTGACTGTGATGGATTATCTGGAGCTGCCCTGTGATTAACTCATGCTGCCCTTGGACATCAGGACAGGCTGTGCAGCCATAAACCCATGGCCACTTAGCAAACACGGTGCCAGGGTCCAGCATTGTCATGGTTTAGACGAGGTGACATTCGGAATCTGCCGGTGCTACTCCTGTCCTGCAGTGGCCTGCCACAGCCTCCCAAGTCACTGCCTATTGCTCTACATTGTTCTGTCCCAGGGCATCTACCCAATCCCTCTTTGTCATCAGTTCCCCAAACTGATTATTATGCCATTCTGAAAATTCTTGTTTTAAGTCCTTGGTCAGTCAAAACTGGTAGGTAAAACATAATCTGGGACACACTATTCACAAAAGACAGCCCCACAAATTACCACCTCAGCTTCAATCAGATACCGTAGGTGGTGAAGTGACCACAGACACATTTTTCAGAAATGACACAGGAAAGGCCACTACCAAGATCAACCCACCAAGCCTATTCCCCAGCTCAGCAAACACCTTCCATGTTGTCCCCTGCTTCTAAATGAAATCTCTGTCTTCCTCTTCCTCTCTCTCTCCACCTCCTCCCTTCTTCCCGCTCCTTCCCCAACCCATACTCCAAAAACAAAAGACTTGTCTTTGGGAATTTATGCCACAGAATACCTAATGGACCTTATTCAGTCCCCACCTAATGAAACCACAGATGTTTGCTCTCTGCCTCCCTCCACACTCATACAAAGTCACAAGCTCCCAAGAGTAAAGGTCAGGACAGTTGAACCATGTCACAAGACCACAGTGCACCATGCCAGCCCCTGGTGGTCACCTTAGCTGCTTTTCTCATGGCTGCAACTCAATACCTGACAAAAGGCCATTTCTAGAAAGGGGATTTATTTGAGTTACAGTTTGAGGGTAGTAGTACTCACCATGCTGGGGATGGAATGGCTCAAAGCTATGGCAGGAACTTGCTAATAACATCTGGATGGATGAAGGCATTAGGAGGGAAAATTCTGGAGCTTGACAGGCTTTCTGCCTCTCCATCTTTTATTCAGTCCAAAAGCCCAGTCTAAAAGATGATGTCTTAATTACTCAACTGTTGTTGTAAAGAGACACCATGACCAAGGCAACTTATAAAAGAGAGCATTTAATTGGGGGTTTGCAGTTTCAGAGGGTGAGTTCATGACCATGAGAGTGGGGAAATGGAGGCAGGCAGGCAGGCATAGTGTTAGAGCGGCAGCTGAGGACTTACATTCTGATTCGCAGAGAGAATCAGAGGAGAGACAGAGACAGAGAGAGAGCTGAAATGGCATGGGCTTTTGAAATCTCAAAGTTCACCCCCAGTGACACACTTCTTCCAAACAAATCATACCTTCCAATCTTTTCCAGAACACTTCTGAAGCATAGGAATGGTGCTGGCTAGTTGTATGTCAACTTGACACAAGCTATAGTCATCTGAGAGGAAGGAACTTCAGTTAAGAAAATGTCTCTATAAGATTGGGCTGCAGGCAAGGCTGTAGGGCATTTTTTTAAATTAGTGAGGGATGTGGGAGGGCCTAGCCCATTGTGGGTGATGTTATGCCTGGGTTGCTGGTCCTAGGTTCCATAAGGAAGCCGGCCATGCAAGCTCATCTAACTCTCTTCCCCATTATGAACGATCTACTTCTGGCCTCATTTTTCTTTCTATAATCATTCCCAGGTAGTTAGCTGCATCCCACCCCCAGCCTCCTACATGCTGCCTCAGGGGAAAGACTACAAAATAATGACCTCAACGCCAGTGCAAGGTCAAGTGTGTGGTGAAGATTCAAAATACAGCATAACCCCTTTGTCTATCTTCCCACACATGGTTACATCAACAGCACTTTGTAGAAAAGTCTCTCAGACTTTCGAGATTCCTTTCTTTTTTTTTTTTTTAATTCCTGGACAAGGTTTCTCTGTGTTGCCCCAGCTGTCCTGGAACTAGCTCTTGAAGACCAGGCTGACCTTGAACTCACAGAGATCCATCAGCCTCCGTCTCCCAAGGGCTGGAATTAAAGGGGTGAGCCATGGCGCCTGGCACTTTCCAGATTCTTAATAAATGAAGTTTAACCTCTATGTTTAAACTTCTTTCATCTAAAGAGTGTATCTCCAGCTGAAGATGGAGCTCAGTCAGTTGAGCGCCTGCCTGCCCATCATACACGAAGCCCTGAGTTCCACACCCAGCACCACTGAAATGTAGCAGTGTACACCTTCGATCACAGTCCTCGGGAGGGGACGGCAGAAAACAAGGACCTCCAGACAGCTGCAGCTGCAGAGCAAGTTCAAGGTCAGCTCGAGCTCCTTGAGACTGCCTGTGTATTTCTCTCATGATGTGAGCAGGGTAGAGAGTCCTAAACTAGAAAGGACTTCAACTTTTATTGTATGGGTTTATATCTCTCAAGAAAGAAGTAACATTTGTGAAGGCACTGTATATTTAAAAAAAATAAATTTCATATGTGCTGGCTAGTCTTATGTCAACTTGACATACGAATGATTGCGGCGCGTTTCCTGACCAGCAGGAATGAACGGCCATGAAATCGAGATTCCTTCCCATATCATGCCTTTATTCGGAGCCCTCGGTTGAGGAAAACTGGGGGAAGGGAAAAGAGAGAAAAGACAGAGAGAGGGAGAGAGAGAAGGTGAGAGAGCAGAAAGCGAAAGAGGAAGTGAGAGAGCAGGAAGCAAGAGAGAGCGGGAAAACCCAAAGGCAGCTGCTTTTCTAGGGTGGAGAGGCTCGAATGTTGATTGGTTGATGCCATTCTGCTAGGGCCCAAGGCCACAGGACCAAGGCTCTGAAATGCAAAACAAGGCCCCAAGCACTCTGGCCTGTGCGGCAGCATCAAAGGATTTGTATACCTCCAGGCTGTAGGACTGCTGGCACTATCTCGCCAAGGCGACATCCTGGTGGTTCCTTACAAATGATGGTTATCTGAAAGGAGAGAACCTCAGTTGAGAAACCACCTCCATAAGATCCAGCTGTATGGCCTTTCCTTAATTAGTGATTGATTGGGGAGGGCCCAGCCATTGTGAATGGGGCCATCCCTGGACTGGATTCTATCAGCAAGCAGGCTGAGCAAGCCACAGGGAGCAAGACAGTAAGCAGCACCCCTCCATGGCCTCTGCCTCAGTTCCTGCCTCCAGGTGCCAACCCTAACGGGTTCCTGTCAGGACCTCCTTCAATGATAACAGCAATATGGAAGAGAAGGTCAAATAACACCCCAACTTGCTTTTGGGTCATTATGTTTCATTATAGCAATGGAAACACTAACTAAGGCAAATAGCATAATAATAAATTACATAGAATTATGAAGTCTATTCATATCTCATTTATTTGGGCAATTTTATTTTCTTGAGTCCATCAGGAGACTGGAAATCATTGTTATTTAACACTACAGTGAAAATACAGAAGAACTTCAGCTACAAATGGCTCTGCTTCTTGCTGAGGATTCCTAGATAGTGCATTTCAAAGCCCCCACCTACTGCATGGATCTATAGCATCCAACATGTATTCAAAATGCTGTTTCTTTTTTTAAGGTTTATTTTTTTATTTATGTGTATAGCTGTTTTTCCTGCATGTATGTATGTGTGCCCCACGCAGACCTGGTGTCCACATAGTCTAGAAGAGGCTTTAGATCTCCTGGAGGTATAGCGATGGTTCTTAGCCATTACACGAATGCTAGGAATAGAACCCAGGGACTCTAGAAGAGCAGCCAGTGTTCTTAGTCACTGAATCACCTCCCAAGAATCACTGTGAATTTATCCCTCTGGAGAGCAGAGTTCTCTGAACTTTCATATCCTCCTTAGGTCTCTTTTCAATAAGTTTTTTCTGCCGGTTAATATATCAGAGGGTTTAAATATGTAAATGATTTTCATGAATTAGTAAAAGTCACCTCTCTATTTTTTTTATAGGTTTTGAGAGATGCTTCCTGATGCAAGCATGTAATATAAAAATGTGTTGGTGCTTATATATTGGACAGACTATTGGAAATGTGGAGGGCAAGATCATCTTTCAGCTCTCCCTTAACCATCCCCTGACATTCTCATTAATAAGGCAGGGTAGAGTCTTCTGCTTAGCTGCGGGAGAAAAATGACTCCTGTAGCCAAGCAGAGGGCATTCATTCATTTGTTTGCTTAAATTGATACTCTAAAGCTCTATGGTTAATGTGTTTTAATGATCACAGAGTACTTCCATACACATCTTATTTATTCCTCACCACCATCTAATTTGCATGGGTAGCTGTCTCGCACTAGCAAATAAAAGAAAAACTAAGCCATTCCTTAAAAACTTAAAAGACAGTGCAAAGTCACGCAATAAGATAAATTAAAATCACTGTTCTACAAAGATATTTATATGTGACAAGTGTATGAGTGTGTGTGTGTGAGAGAGAGAAAGAAATGGGGAGAAAGAGAGGGGGGAGAGAGAGGGTGTGTGTGTGTGTGTGAGAGAGAGAGAGAGAGAGAGAGAGAGAGAGAGAGAGGAGAAATTCTACTCTTAAAACTTTATTTTTCCCAAATCACTTCAACTTAGGATTTCAGTACAGGAAATATGGTATCAAAGATGACTGACCATGGTCCTACATGCCAACAACCCACAGGTATGTGGAATCTTTTTAACTCACAAAAATATTATAATGTTTAAACCAACAGTGAATGTACAATTTAAAATACGTCGATATCAGATATGAATCCCTGAGCTTTTTAGAAATAGCAGAAAAGAAGCAAGACAATTACAATGAGGTGCATGAGAAAACTTTCTGAAAGAAGTTCAAATTAACAACTGGTCGAGTAGCCTTCCTACTCTAGGAACATCAGACCTTGATGATCTTTAAGAGATGAAAAAGCCCTTCTGAGCGCTTTCTCTGAAGATGCTTTGCCTTCCATTTACAATAGTTGGACAGCAGGTGTGGTGGAGCATTTCTCTAACCTTGGGACTCTAAAGGCTGAGGCAAGAGGACCAAGGTTCAAGGTCAGTCTGTGCCACGTAGCAAAACCGTGCCGCACAGAGAAAGAAAGGCAATAATAAAAACAAGAATGGTTCCTTGCTACTGATGGTAGGAAGGCCACCGGGAGCCTGGCTTGTAGGCTGACCAGCCTCTGTATGTTTGCATGTTCGTATCTGTGCTGCTGAGAGCGAAACCCAGGAATGGATGGTAGGCAAATGCTCTACCACCGAGCTGTACCACCAGCCGTCCATATCCTCTTAAACTCATAAATTAGTCCTGCTTGAGACAAAGAGAGGTGAAGAAAATCCCACTAAGCTTCCCCACTGAGCCCCATATTAAGAGGTTCCATCTTGTGATCACCTCTGCTCCAGTTCTTTGATCTTTGACCTGGTGGTCAAAGAATTTCCTGATCCTTCATCCAGTGCACACACCTGACACCGAATTGAGGCCCGAGCTTACTTTTGTTTCCTGAAAAGACTGAGGTAAAGCCACACCAACCTTCTCAGAAACTGAGGTTCACTTTCTGACTCAGGCTAACCAGTGGAATCTCATGGTCAGCCTTGCTGAAAATGGCTTCGCAGACCTTTATCTTTCTCAAAGGAAAAATCTAGAGAACTCTCAGTATAGGGCCTGGGTATAGCAGGCATGGCAATAAATATGCCAGGATCAGAGCTTTCAACGAAATTTAGAAGCTGGCAGAGAAAGAAGAAAATATAACCCAAGAGTTACAGATATTACCGTGAAAGAAATAGGGCATTAAACCGGCGCGAATAAGCTCTTATTCAGCTACGTGACTGCAAAGGACTCTGTAGTAGCTGAGAAGAATGAGCAATATTGAATGGATGTGAAGAATTGGTTATTCTAAGAATGGTGAGGAGATAGACATACATTTTCCAGAGACAATGAATTAAGCCATTTGTATGAGGAATGCACTCATCGAGAAGCGCGAGAAGAGATAAGGGTGAAATCTGGGTGAATGGTAAATGGGCTGTGAATTTCACTTGGAAATACCCAGAGTTTTTTTTTAAGCAGGGACATGATCTAATTTGAATGATATCCTAGAGACTCTCTAGCTGCGGCAATTAACAGGTCATGTTGGTTAAGTAAACGAAGCAGAGAGAAGGAAACCAGTTATTCAGGACTCCATGCAACCATCTCAGTGCCGAATGATTAAAGTGTGACCTAACGTTTTAATAGAAAAGGGTAAAAGAGGGGAGAAGAAGATTTGGGTGAATTATGTGGATTCATGTTTTACTTCTTACAAGCCGCTTAAAAATTTGACAAATAAACTTTAAAGTGTGCACAGTTATAAAATAAAAGCTAAATCCTTGAGCAAAGAACAGAGAAGCAAAGAAGTATTGGAAGACACACAGCAGACACTAAAGGTCAAAGGAAGAAAAAAGATGGCGCCTGTGATACAGATCAAGGAGGCTGAGCCGTCTTCACAGCTAGAGGTACCGGGTGGCTTGAAAGCACGAAGTTTAGGGAACACATCCTTCC